GGCCTTAAGAGGCCAGGTGGTTCCTCCCCCCTCCTCCTCCTCCGCGCTTGCAAGGGACAGGGTCTTGCAGAACTCAGGTTTTTGAAAAGTAATGATTTAATTCCTTTCAATAAAGAAGTATAATGTAACAAATATGCTTTCAAAACTCCTGTCAACTTATGGTAACCCTATGAATTTCATAGGGTTTTCTTAGGCAAAGGAGTACTTAACAATGGTTTTGCCAGTTACTTCTTGCTATGGAGGGGAGGTGCCACAAATTGGAAGGAAAAAGGCCACAGCTTTATTGAAAACAGCTGTAAGGCAGGGTTGGCCCAACAATGCATGAGATCGGGATCTGGCATCAACCAATCCCATTATTGATTAATGAACCAATTTGCTTGGTCACATCCAAGCTTCGGGAAGACACAGGGGTAACCAGTTAATCTCCCACTTGCATCTCAGGTAACCGGTTGATCACATGTTCACATCTCTACCCCTTGTAACCGGGGGATGCTGATCCAGCATTGCCCCCACAATGGCAACACCGCAATGGTCTCAGAACTCCTGGGTCCCCAATGGATTCCCAATCCCATACTACGCATCACAGGAAACCACGCCCACCAGATCCAAGACCTATGCTATCGCCACAGAAGGGCCCCCCCCAGGCCCCACCTTCTGCCAACCCTAACAATCTGTAGCACCCTGATGAGAGTCTGAACAAAAAGTCCATTCCTGGGTCAATGTAGCCTGCAAAAGCCCCAGATTTCCATCTGCCCAGTCTTTTTATAGAGTCCGCTGGCAAGCTGCATCCCACTGCTGTAGTAGCAACCCCAATACAGAATGAATGGCCCCCAAAGTCCTCAGGTGGCAGTCCTGCATTCCGTAAGGCCAAGCAAAGTACTGACACCACTTGGAAGCATGTCAGCAAGGAAACATCCTTCTGGGTAAAAAGAGGGCTATCTTTATTATTATTATTATTATTATTATGCTTTATTTATATAGCGCTGTAGATTTACACAGCGCTGTACATACAATCAATAAAATAGATTGGTGGTGGAGGAACTGCTGGACTGGTGGTGGAGGAACTCCTGGACAAGTTGTTGGTACTAGAGCTGCTCGGAGAGAAGCCTTGGTGCATTTGCCCCCACTTCTTGGACTGACCACGCACACACACAGTGGCTGACTAGGGGTCTGGAGCAGTAGGCCCTGGGGCAGGTGGTGTAGTAACCTTAGTCAACTTGCTCAATAAAGGCTGAAAGGGTGTGAGTTAAATCCACCAAGGCATCCTCCCCCATCACTGAGAGAGGTGCAGGCGAAGGTGAGGCCACTGCCAGGACTGAGGGCTGCTGGTGTTTGACCTGGGGGCCAAGTCAGCCCAAGACTTGCTGGGCTGACCAGCCAGGCCCCTTGTGGTAGAGCAGGCAGGTACAGCCCATTGCTTGAAGCCTTTGGACAGTATAGCTGACTGGCCTGTGGGGGCTGTTTTGTCACCCGCAGAGGGGGGTGCACCAGCCAGAATTTTGTGGCACCTGCGATGTCCCACTGGCACTCCTTGAGCTAAGCCAGGCATCCCTGCTCCACTGCTGCAAGAGCCTAGCTAGGAATGGTGTTGTCTGCCTGTGCCATATGGCCTTTTATGGGCCCCTCTACCAATGAAAAGTCAGGAGGCCTGGAAGCTCCCACCCTTCTGGACTCCTAGCCAATCCCCAGTATTCTTTGCCATGTTGCCAATTAATAGGATGACACTTTTGCCCGCAGTTGTAGTCCTATCGCCCTGGCCGAAAGCACTGCCCTCCCAAGTCTAAACAGCCAGTGGTAGCCCAGCCAGCCCAGTGCAAGGTCCGCCAGTATGGCACTGGTGTCAGGCGACCCAGCAATGAGTAGCAAGTGGCTCCCCCCCCCAGACAACAAAGTCCTACTATTGAGTTGGGTAGCCTCATTTCTGAAATACAACCTACAGCACCTTGTATTCATTGGCAGTCTCCCATGGAAGTACTGACCAGGGCTGACCCTGCTTAGCTTCTAAGATCAGATGTGATCTAAAGGTTTTAGGGTATTTAGAGCAGGGTAACAAATTATTTTTTAAAATTAATTTTCCAAGACTTATTGCACAGCATTGTAATAATACATTGTGTCTTATCACACAGTAATAGTTTAAACCTTACAACAGTTAGTCTTATTTGGCAGATTGGGTCTGAAAACAACGGAGTTGAATCTGGATATATGCTAGAATTACTAGGCAAGCATATGTCAGCAAAGATAAAATCTAAGTCCTCTATATGTTTACTCTGAAATATTGGAAAACTCACAGACATCCATGACTATTACAAATGTTACATATATTTAATATACAGAGTTACTGGCTATAGTTAGCAATCTAGAATATATCCACCCACTAATAATAAGTAGTTGAATTAAAAAAATAAGCTTGAACATGATTATCCAATTATCTATTCCTACAAAGGACCAGGAGCACAAATTTGTGGTAGAACAAGGTACATGGTTCTCTAGCTTCTCCAAATCCTTACAGCAATAAAATATGAAAGCAGAAGTGGACTTCTGGCCATATATGTTTCTCCTTCTTTAGTTATTGCTTTCTTTGGAAATTATTGTGTATTTCTAGGCTTGATAAGGCTTGCAGTGGATACTGGGATTGCACAACTGGGGTATGGATAATCCAACACAGATAATCGTAGGGCCAGCAGAGACTGGCCAAAAGGGCTGGCCAGGGGGTGGAGTCGGGGTGTGGCAACCTCAGCTGAGCAAAGTTCAATTCACATATTTCAATCTAACAACTATTTTTTACAAGGGTGAGCTGTATACTAAAATGTAAACCTTGCTGATCAATTACTGTTCACTCCTTAGTGTGAGTTCACAACAAGTTGAGGAAAGGAATAATGTTCATCCTTTTCATTCCTTCATGGGTGAACTCAAGGTCAATTGCTATCCTCCTTCACCATCTTCTCCTGAAAATTTAAGCACAGAGTAGAGCCAGCTCAAATGCACTGTAAGTTTTGGAGATAAGTACCCAAGTAATGATCCTGTCCCATTCCCTTTTAGCCTTTCAGGGCTCTTTCAAACTATAGCAACAGCAAGTACATTTCTATATTGCTTATTAGTGCTCTTAAGCATTCCCTAAGCAGTTTACAGTGTGTAAGGTAATTGCCCCAAACAAGCTGGGTACTCATTTTAGCGACCTCGGAAGGATGCAAGGCTGAGTCAACACTGAGCCCCTGGGTGGTATTGAACTCACAGCCTTGTAGTTTGTGAATGAGTGGCTGAAGTCCAGGCATTTAACTAGTGCGCCACCAGGGCACTATATAATTATAACATTACAGTTTCACTTAAACTGCCATGGCTTCATCCTATGGAATCTTGGGTTTTGTAGTTTGGTGTGGTACTAGAAGACAAAGAATTCTAAATTCAACTCAACTGCAAATCACCAAATTCCATAGGATGGAACAATGGCATTTAAAGTAGAATCATAGTGCTATAATTATGAAGTGTGAAACAAGCCCATAATCTTAAAATAACAGCTCTGAGGCATTCTTTCTGCACTCAAGAGATGCCTTAAAATACTCATTGAATTGGCATTAACTAATTCTTCTCCAGAATTACCTGAAGACAAAATCACCTGAAGACTTAAGACACTCTGCAAGATCTTACATTCTGCACATGCTCTGCAAGGAACTCTTGCATGTCTTTTGAAACCCAAAACTAGGCTGAGCCAGGAAAAATGCACCTAGCCAAGTGAAACTTGGTATTATTTGAAAGTCATTAGGTAATTCATACTGGCTTTACCCATCCACATTATTGTGTTGATATACTTTGGCATTTGCCTTCATTGGTTTAAAAAGCCAGTCCAAAATTTCTTGCTAAAAACCTTCCCTACATTCTACAAATGCACAGTTTTTGTTCTACAGTCCCCAAAAATATGGGGCTTCTGCCTTCTTTTCTCTTGCCTATTTCTTGATATTAGGACTACTGTTTGTGCAGCAGCCGGCCAGCCAGCAGTGTCTAACTCAGCCAACCCCAGTTCGTCACCACTTCTTCCTCCATCTCAGCCTCTCTTAGCAGTGGCAGCAGCCCAGGCCTTGTGCTCACTCTCACATGCACCAGCACTGGAAGGCTGGTTGGCCAGCTGCTCAGTTTCTGATTCCAGAGTGACTTGGTGCAAAGGGAGAAGCAACTTAGCAGCCTGACAAGGAACAACTGAGAAGCTTCTCACCAATGCTAACCTTGTGGCAATGGCTGCCACAGATGAGACACTTCTGCCACTCCTAGCACAGCTGCTTGGTTGCTGCCTTCAAAGTGACTGGGTGCAAAGAGAGAAGCTTCTCCCTAGGGATGACAGAATCTCAATTCTTCTTTGCCAGGATAGAGAGGGGTGCAGGTGGCTTCCCACTTTTCTCCCTGGTGAGGAAGGATTCTCAATCCAAGAGAGGTGAAGGACTCTTTCAAAAATCAGCCC